GAGGGAGTGAGCAAGCAGCTGTGTGGTGTTCAGCTGCCTGCCAAGTTAAACCACAGCACCCAAATATATTGGGATCAATGCAGAACTGGCTATTCAAAACCAAGCATTTTACTCACTTTGCCTCTTTGCTTGGACACGTTTGCGCTTTGACTGCACTCCTGAGATCTCTCCAATGAGCCTTGTAAGAACTGAAGACTAAAGGAAAACTATGCCCAGCCTTGGCTCCTTAGGGTGTTATGTGTGGGAATGAGCCCCCTGGTGCCCAGCTCCTGATCTGCAGATCCTGAAAGACTGAACAAACCTCCAGATAAGTGAAAGCAGCAAATGTCCAGGTTTCTGAGGGTGTTAGCAGGCCCTGCTGAAGTCCATCACTAAGGGAACCAGGAGCAGACAAGGTTCTTGTCCCTGGGGGTTGGTGAAGCAGGAAGTCAGAGACAGTGGCTGCAGGTGGAAAATCAAATGTGGAGGTAGCTCCGAAAGCCTTTGATGTGTTTCGCCAAGCAAGGTGGCCAAGCCCTGGCCCCCATCCCCTGAAAAGCGGGAACCTTTCTCTCATGGGATGCTCAGGACTCTTCCCGGGGACAATGTGATGTGAGGATGTGTGATGCTGAGGGCAGGAGAGTGCTAGGACACCTCCCATGCTGTAAGGTGGTGAGGAAGCAACGAGACCCTGAGGTTGTAAGGAACTGATGTCCTCTCCTAGGCCTGACTGGAAGGGAAAACAGCCATAGCAAAGGTCTCTGTTCTGTTGGGGTGTGAAATCCCCACCAAGGCCCTGGGCCATCCTCACCACAGCTAGACTGTCCTGGGCCTGTGCCTGTTCCCGCTTCCGTGCTTCCAGCACCAAGCTGTGATTTTCTGAGAATTTGCCAATGCCTGTTAGTTCCCCACAACCCATCCCCTTTCTTCCAAAGCCTTGCTCATGCTCCTTTGTCACCCAAGATTTCCAAGCCCCAGACATGTGAGAATTAAGCTCCACTTCCCATCACCGAACTGCACATTCTCCTGCTTCTGCAGTCTCAAAATCAAATCTCAACCTAATTCACTTCAGCATGACAGCCCCTGATGTTCCAGTGATTCAAAGTTACCAACAGAGAATCAAAGTTACCAATGAAAAAAGCAAAGTTACCAATGGAAATCTTAGGTGTTTTCAGCATGTAAGCCCCTACTCTGGGACCCTCACCTGTATTCAGGTACTCACATACAGGAATACTCACCTGTATTCCCTTACCTGGAACCCAGGTGCTCACATCCAGATACTTTGCAAGGACTGAGGTGACAGAGGTGGTCCAAGACATGTGCAAATGTTTACAAGCTCTGATGGAAAATCTCTGAGCATGCCCACCTCCTTGCTGAGCATCCCCTGAGGGCGAGAGGGGGATGGAGATATCCTTGCCCACCCACAATGACACTAGACTTTTAGGGAACTTGAATGTGCCTGAGTGTCCTTGAGCTGATCAAACCGAAGAGTGCCCCAGGAGGAGACCCAGGTCTCTCTCCACTGTACTCACTAGAGCTCCAGTCACTATAAATCAAAGACACATCCACATCCCTGCACTGAAGACAAAATCCTAGTGCCCTATGATACAAGGTTATGTGCAATATCGGTCACTTCCCAAAGGTCTGCAACTGGTAAGAGGTCTGTCAGCCTCGAGGAGCAACTTGAGAATTGACCGAGTTCAAGGGGAGATCACCACCATGCAGCCAGGCTGCCTTGCAGGGAGAGCTCCAAGAAGGCTCCCTGAGGCTGTCATACTTATGGGATAAAGTGGTTGGCTTGCAGTCAAATTCCATGTGATAAAAACATTATGCAGGAGACTCCTTGTACCCACCACTTTCTTTGTTCCTTGATAAATGAGTCTTGGAGGAACCAGCTGCTATTCATGTGTGAATTGCATGATCAGTGTTCCAGTTTCCAAGCCCATATGCCTCAATGCTCACCATGTCACTCTCTTCCTTTGTGCATTGTCAGGGAACAGATTGGAACTGGAGAAGTTCTTGGCCCGGTTATGGCTTTGGCCTTTACCTCCTTTGCAGCCTGAACCAAACTAGCACTGGTTTTGTCAAGGGTTTGAGTGCATCCATCACAAGGACTCAGCTCCCTCCCATGCTGCCACAAATCCATGGCTTGTGGGATTCCTCTTGCCTCAGTTCAGGTGTGTACACAAACAGCCCTCCAAAGGCTGGAAGAAATCAAATGTCACTCTAATCTTCAGGAAGGGTCTATTGGGTTTGTGTGGCAAAATTTTGGTAGGGGTTGGCTTCTGTGAAAAGCTGCTAGAAGCTTCCACTAGGTCTGATAGAGTCAGTGACAGCCAGCTCCAAGATGGACTCGCCACTGGCCAAGGCTGAGCCAATCAGCCACACTGGTAGAGCCTCTGTGATAATGTATATAAGAATGGAAGAAAAACCCTTTCAACTCTGCGTAATTACAGCCAGAGAGAACAGTGAGAATATGTGAGACAAACAACTCTGCAGATACCATGGTCAGTGAAGAAGGAGGGGGAGGAGGTGCTCTAGACTCTGAAACAGAGATTCCCCTGCAGCCCCTGGTGAAAGCCATGGTGAGGCAGGCTGTCCCTCTGCAGCACATGGAGGCCCATGAGAGAGCAATTCTCCACCTGCATCTTTTGAAGGATCCCACACTGGAGCAGGTGGATGTGCCAAAAGGAAGCTGAGACATCATGGAGATCCTACAATGGAGCAGGCTCCTGGCAAGACCTGTGACCCCGCAGGGGACCCACACTAGACCACTGTGCTCCTGAAGGAAAAGGAACCATGCTGGAGCAGTTCATGAAGAACTGCAGCCCATGGGAAGGACTTACGTTGGAGAAGTTCATAGAGGACTGTCTGTCATGGGAGGGACCCCATGCTGGAGCAGGGGAAGAGTGTGAGGACTCCTCCCCCTGAGGAGGAAGGAGCGGCAGAAACAATGCCTGATGAACTGATGGCAACCACCATTCCCTGAACCCCTGTGCTGCTCGAGGAGGAGGAGGTGGAGAAAATCATGAGTGAATTTGAGCCCAGGGAGCGGTGGGGGGAAGGTGTTTTAAGATTGTTTTTCTTTCTCAGTGTCTTACTCTGACATTTGTTTGGAAAGACATAATTTTAATTTCCCCAAGTTGAGTCTGTTTTGCCTATGATGGTAATTGCTGAGTGACCTCCCTGTCCTTATCTTGACCCACGAGCCTTTTGCTGTACTTTTCTCTCCCTTTCCAGCTGATCAGGGGGAGTGATAGAACAGTTTTGATGGGCACTTGGTGTCCAACCAGGGTGAACTCACCACAGAGGTAAAATTTCCTTCCTTTAAACTTTTTCCTTGGTTTATTCATGACTTCATTTTCATTTTTTTTTACATTTTTCTGAACTGTTCTGGCATCATCAGGTGTTGTGGTTTAACCCAGCAGGCAGCTGAACACCATCCAGCCACTTGCTCAACTAAAACATCAGTGTGTTATCAACATTACTCTCTTACCAAATTCAAAAAGCAGCACTATGTAAGTCACCAGGAAGAAAATTAATTCTATCCCAGCAGAAACAAGGACACAGCCCCGTTGGTGTCTCCTGTTTACCAGATCACTGCCCTCTTTCAGCAGCAGCCCTGCATTTCCCTTCTTCAACCTTAAGCACTAACACAGCAATTGAAGCTCTCCTCTTTGCTCTTGACTTCTCTTGCAGCCTCCAACTCCAGGTGGTCACCCCTGGCAGCTGCTTTGTGCCCCTGGCAGTGCCCTGTCCTGTGCCAGCCCAGCCACACTGTCCAATGGACTCACTGTGCAGACGCAGCATGGCAAGGGTGTGTTTGGTGTGAGGAACAGTTTCTCTTGCATGATCTCCAAGACACCCTGTTGTTCCCTGTCCCCCTTCTGTTCCTCCTACTTCAGACAGCCTCCACCAAGTCCTGGAACATACCCAGCCCTATCCACATCCCATGGTGTTTTGACGACATCCCTGCTCTAGGATCCACCAGGATCTGGATGAGGAGAGAGGTTGAGCAGGGCTGGACATTCCCCCAGTACAGGCACTAAGCCCAGCAGCAGGAGGGAAATGGCCGTGCAGAAAACTCACCCATAAACCTGCGAAGAGCAGCCAGTGGTGCAAGTGGCCAAATACTGAGGAAACCAATGAAATCTCGCTCCAGTCCCATTCCCTAACACATCACCCCATGCCCCTCAGCACATGGAGAACCCAAGCACAGCGGCATGGCAATGCTGGGGGGGGG